CATACATACATACACACACACACACACACACACACACACACACACACACACACACACACACACACACACACAAGTGCATTATTTCATTTGCAGCAATTCCACTGCATTATCTTAGCAAATAAGGCTTTTCAAACATGTAGGCCTCTCCTTCTTACCTCCAACACAAGACTTTCATGGGGGGGGGGGAATATAACAACACAAGGCCCTGATGTAAACAGGCCACACACCTGGCCCTGGGAGCATGCTGACTTTGAACCATGAGCCTTGGTGGCAAGTCTGGAGCCTGAGGAGGAACTAGAAGCCAGAGGCCTGCAGGAGGTTGAAGGGATACAGGCCAATTGCAGGAGTGAGGGACAAGGAAGAAGAGACGCTAAGCTCAGTCACTCTGGCTAGTGTGGGTTTATAGTATAGTGGGAACCCCAGGATACTCTGGATAGGAGCACCTCTGAGATAAGGGCCAGGAGGAGAGAGAAGGTTATTTCCCTAATAGTGTGACCCAGGCTCACAGACTGACGGTTGCTTGCAAGAGGAAGACAGATGGTTCCTCCCCACACTGAGTACACAGTGCTGGAGGGAGGAGGGAGCCAGAATCAGCCATGTGACTGTGCACATCTGGAGACCCAGAGGGGGTGACAAGAGAGACACAAAGGGAGAAAGTGGAACTGGGAAGGAGACCCCCATTTGCTGTCAGAAAGCTGAAGAGACTTTGGCCACCACACATGGCACCACATCCTCTTCTCTCTAGGGCCTGGATGTGTGATCAGACTGGTGACAGGAACATGGGGTCTCTGCTAACTTCCTGGATCCCACAACGCATTTGACCACTTCCTCTGGCCTTCCTTACTTCCGTTTCCTGAGCTTCTGGCTACTGGAAAACAAGGATCCCTTGGTCAGCTACAGTGACAACAGAGCAGCTAGCTTGCCTTGGTGCCTCCTCTCAAAGCTCTCTACTCAGAATTCTGTTTTGCATTAACTTGAAAAGTCTGGTTAGAGCCTCTGGAGAACATGCATCAGATATTCAATAATGACCTCAACCAATTGCATCAGAACTTCTGGGGAAGGAGCCCAAACACCAGTATTATTTTAAAAACTCCCTAAGTGATCTTAATGTGCAGCCAGAATCTACAGGACTAAATGGAGCCTGGGGCTTTGTCACTGGAAGCATAGTGTACAGCAGGATCAAGGAGGTTAATCTATTATGAGTGGACACTGTATGATCTCAGCCAGGGCCTTAATCTGGAAAGGACAACAATGAAAAATGTTCTGAGGAGGGCAAAGGGAAGTGGGGGGATGGGGATGGTTTGCAGCACAGATGCTTGGGGAAGGCAGGAGGCAAAGGTCATAGACCTTCAATCTAAGGGTTGGGGTCTGTCTACCCCACAGAGACCTAGATGTTTCCCTGCTCCAAAAAAAGGCCCTGTCTCATTAGTAATGAAATAATGTCATCATAATAACCTGGAGCAGGTGAAGCCAAATGGCAGGTTATAAATGCCCTGGGATTTGGTATAGGCAGAAGATTGCACTGCCCCAAGGCACCTGAATTCAAGATGCTGATGGGCCTTCCATCAACTATGGCCACCAGTTCAGCATCAAATCTCAGTATGACATACCTAGACCACAGGTCTGCATCCACAGAGCCAGTGGGTGGGTAGATATATTTGCCCAGGTTCAAGAGCCCAAAAATGTACACAGCTCCCAGGGAAATGCTGAAGAATCCAGAGGGATAAGACATAGAGGTGGCCACAAGTCCTGGCCACTGCTGATTGGGGCTCCATCCCTTAGAGTCCTTGAGAGCCCAGCTGGAGCAAGGATTCTCAGCACCGTTCTTTCCCTTTCTAGGATCTATTTTGCTATTGACCCTGAAATCTCCTCTTGCATGGGCTCAGCTAAAAAGACAGCTCAAACAGCTGGCAACTCCACCCGCATTCCACATGAATTCAGAGAGCTAGGGATGTAGCTTAATTGACAGAATGTTTGTGTAGCATGCATGGAGCCCTGGGTTCTAGTCCCAGCACTGTATGGAGTAGGCACAATGGTGCATGCTATACTGCCAGCACTTGGAGAGTAGAGGCAAGATCAGATGTTTGAGGTCATCCTTGGCTATATAGTGAACTTGAGGCCAATCTGGGATACAAATTGTTCTGCCCCTGTAATACTAATAAAAAAAGGTGCCTTGAAATCCCACTTGCAGAACCTCATAGTACGGAAGCCTGTATTAGTTGTGTCCAAAGTAAGGAACTGACAAGACACTTCTAGAACAGGCACTATGAGCTACCACCTCTCCACTTACAAGGAATGAAGGAAGTCTTTGCTAGAAGCTAGATATAAAATAGCATCACTTAGTATTCAGCTACTAAGTTCAAGAAGCAGGGCTAATCTACCCAGAAAGTAGCCAGATGGTACTCCTGGGTGGGGCTGTTGCCTGCGGAAGGACATAAGGAAACTTTGTGGGGATCCAACATTGTTCTAGATCTTGATCAAAGTAACAGTGACACTTGTGTAAAAATTCATGAACCCACATACTGAGTAGTAGCAAGAGTTAGATGCTAGATGTGTCCAATATCAGTGGAAAGAGTAAAGAGGAAGAAAAGACTTGAGAAATGGTAAAGAGAGTCAGACAATGTTGCAGAGTAATGTTCTCAGATGTATGCCATCATTCTTACAACTGCATCACCTGGAGAAAAGTCTGGAAGAAAAGCAAACCATTTGTCCAGGTGGAGGACAATGGGAAAACAGTCCAGTCTCTACCTCTGCGTTTGCATGTGTGCCTACCAGCACTCTAGTGCTCCTACCAGGTACCCCCAGCCTGGCTCCTGCTTCTCTAGAGTCCCTTGAGGAGTTTTGGCTTCTCAGGACAACATTGGCTTCATGGTGTAGCTTAAGATTTGGCTTCACTGGCTGGAGACATGGCTCAGTGGGTAGAGTGCCATACAAGAGTAAAGTCCCCAAAACCCTTGCAAAAGGTGGCTTGCCTATAATCTCCCTGGGGCAAAAGTCCTAGAAAGACTAGCTGAAAAGTTGAGTCTTTTCCAGCATGACCCTGCCTCAGTATATGAGGTGGAGAGTGATGAAGAAAGATGTCAACCTCAGGCCTCCACATGTAAGTGCACACAGGTGTGAACATGCATACACACCCATGAGACGAGCTTTGGCATCTGGAGCTCTAGAAATTGCTTAGCTCTTAATGGCCTAGTGTCTCTGCTCATGGGTTCCCAGGTTCCCATTCAGTATCCACACCCTGGAACTAAACAAGGCCAGTTGCTGCTCTGGGAAAAGCCCACCCCCACCCCAAGCCATCATTCAACTCTACATGCAGGCAGAACCATCTGTAACAAGCCATCAGGAGAGACAGGGGCCCTAGCCACACCATTCTGACTCTTCTTGTTCCCTCCCCATGAGTGACTGAGTGGCTAGATTCACTAATTGGTCTTCATAGGCCAGGTTACAAATGGTGCTAGGGGCGAATTCCGGTCACACCTCCAACCAGGCAAATGAACCCTTGCTCTGTCCTCTCTTTAATATGAATGTGACACCTGCAGGCTACAGCTTGTCGCACTGTGAGAATTATTTCTCCATTAAAATGCAGGAATTGGAGCTTTGCCCAGGAAGGGCAGCTAAAAATACTGCTCTCCAAGGCACTTGTCATTAGGGGACTCGGTGGCCACTTTTCTCACCCTTCAGCTTCCAGGCCAGTCCCACACCCGCTGGGTCACTTCTCAAGCACTGGATATTGTCATGTCTGATCCTCACCTCAGCCTGACAGGAAGAACAGACACTAGTTATCTCTCTTATGCAGGTGGGAAAACAGGTGCAGACTGATGGCCCAGGGTCACTGCACATCCCACAAAGTCAGCCATAGTGTGTCACTGACTGCAGGGCAGGAAAACCTCAGGATGTTTTCTCTATCCATGTCACCTGAACCTCAAAACAGACCTCCGAAGCTGTTGTCCAGCCCTGGGTGGGGACTGAGGTCCAGGGAGGGGAACATAATGTACAAGGGCACTGAGGGTCGGGGGAGACAGAGCTTTTAGATTCCAAAACCCACCTAGAGCACCAAGTGTAAGACATCACGCAAGGCAAATCTTTTTGTTACTGGAACCTTCAATTTTATAACCCCCCAGTTTGGGTTGTTACTGTCTTGAGGCAGGATCGCACATAGCCCAGGCTGGTCTCAAACTCAGTATGTAGGTCAGATGACCTTGAACTCTGGTCTTCCTGCCTCCAACTTCTGAGTGCTAAGAATATAAATGTGCACCATCATGTCCCATTTACACAGTGCAAAGGATCAAGACCCGAGCTTTGTACCTGTTAGACAAAGCACTCTACCAACTGAGCTACATCCCCAGCTCCAAATCATCCAGTTTGTAAAGCATGTCACATGCTTTTCATAGAGGACTTTTCACCCCTATTCAATAAGGAAACCATCAGTGATCTGAGGTATGAGGGATATGGTCATATTAGTTGCAGAGCCAGAGTAAAAGCTCGGTAGCTGGAGCCCCACTGCAGTCCAGCCTCCTGTCCACAGCTTGGGATGCTGTGACAGGGTTTAGTGCTGAAGCCATTTCCCAAGGAAACAGGATGCAGGAATTTTGCATGATCCCCTATCCTGGTTCTCTGGAAATCTGTTTGTTCTCCGAGTTCACTATCCTCTCCGGCTTCCTAAGTGGAAGGTCTCCAGAAGTGCACCAAAGGTCAATGTCCTGCTCAGCGTCACAAAGCAGAGCCAGGTCCTGGTCTATTCCCCCATTCTACTGGGTCATCCAGGAATAGCGTGCACGTTAATTCCTCTAGTATCTGCTTCCTTCTGCCTCTCTGCCTGTTTGGGTTTGTTTGTTTGTTTTTCTCCTCATCTTGACAGAAACTTGAGAAGAGGGAACCACAGTGGAGAAAATGCCTTCACGGTGAAGCAGGTAGCCCTACCCCAGCCTGAAATGCCCAGGACAGATTCTTTCCTTCTAGCACCAAGTCATCCCACTGTTTCACAGACATCACAAGCAGGAAACTATTGAAAGACAAAGGCATTTATTTCTCCCCAAATATACCCAGTTTACAGAGTCCCATGTTTCGTTTTTGTTTTGCCTTTTAAGATGGTTTTTCTGTGTCGCCCCAGTTGTACTGGGACTCACTCTGTCCTGCCTTTGCCTCCCAAGTGCTGGGAAATAAAGGTATGCACCACCACACCTGGCCAGAGTCCATGTTTAAATTATCCTCACATTCTCTAGCACTGGGGTGGGGGAGATGCCTTCAGGGGGACATCAGAAGTTCTGCTCTGCCAGCATCCGGGCTGTCAGAGACAAGCCAGGTACAAGCCCCAGCTCCAGAATAGCACCATGGTAAGAAGCAGTCCTTTCTTGTCCTCAGGCCCTCTTGGCCTGCCCCAGGCTCCAACTGTTGAGATCCCAATATGTCATAGGTTGCTGCCCCTATCCAGGTCTGCATGGCTGTGGCCACCTGCCTTCCAGTCCACATCTAGAAAGATTCTAGAAAACACCCAGTTCTCCATGTATGGTAAAGGACTGTGCTTTCTCTAGGTTTCTTCCCCTACCCCAGGTCAGGGCTAGTGTGGGCTGAGGATGAGGTATCCAGAAACTGTGAGCACAGATGGCTACAGTAGGAAGCAAGGCCATTTCCCAGCTGGAAAGTGAGTTCTAGAGGGAAGGGACTCTGGTTTTCCTGCAGGACCTTGGCACCCAGCACAGTGCTGACTCCTGTGGTTGCTCTACAGACTACAGATGTTAGTTTACTAAGAAAGTAAAAGTAACAAAGATTCCAAACATGGGAAAGCACAGGGATGAAGGCTGACCCCCTGAGGGCCCTGAGAACCAGGGAAACTAGTACCTGCTTCCTGTGGGGGGAATGGGCACAGCCCAGGGCAGCCAGAGGAGATCATGCAATACAAGTCTGCACGCGTTCCAGCACGTGCAGCTGCCGGTATCAATGTACATGTGTGTGTGTGTGGATGGGGAGTGTGCCCCATCACACTTAGCCAGGGAGGGAGACAACCAAAGCCAAGCCAAAGGTAGGGGAGTCGGGATGAAGACTTGGGAGATGCTGAAGAGACGGGATCCACACTCGTCAGAACAAAGGTTGAGAAGTGGTAACATAGATGTATCAGGGCCATGAGAAAAGCCAAGAGGCGATTGTGCAGCTAGCTTCAGATACATAAGGCAGGGTTCTTCTGAATAGTTATGTGTCTTGGTGAACAACAGTTACATGGTCTGCGTGGCTTTGGAGAAGCAAGAAGGTGGGGCAATTTGCATATGCCCATAAGAAATAAGGCTGAAGGAAGAAGGTTCATGTGTAATGTCACTGGAGAAACAAGGCTACTGGATGACTCTGGAGGAACACTGAGGTGGATCGGTCTGTGTGTCATGTCCATATAAGGCCGCAGGATGGTTCCTGTATCGTGTCAGTGGAAAAATAAGGCTGCAGGATGATGGGAATTAAGTCCATCAGAGAAATAAGGCTGAGGGTGGCCTATGTACCACTTCCTTTGAAGAATGGGTAGACCAGCATAGCAGAACCCATTTGTTGGGGGTAGGGCTCACATTGAGGCTCAACACAGGTGGGGTGTGGGCCCCCCCACCTGGGAAAGGCAGCAGCTCCCAGTCAGGCTATTTCTTGTCCATCATCTGCATTTCATGGTAGGATGAAAGGAAAAGGGGGGAAATGCATTAGAAGCTGGAAATTCTACTCCTGGGGAAACATCCATCCAAAGTCACATATCCAGGTTGGGAGTATGCACCCCTAGCCACTACCCTGTAGGCTAGTATGTGCACGGGACAGATAGAATACAGAGTGTGTCTTCTTACACTGCTACACTGGAGGCCAGTGCGTACACAGGAGCCAGGTGGACGAGTCACCCCACACACTCCTACTGGCCTGCTTGGTCCATCTGACTCACCCTTCAAGGCCTGGCCCAATTCCCTCCTCTGGCCGGATGCCTCTTCCCATCCTAATGACCTGGAGAGTCATGTTGCAGGGAACCTTCTCCCTCTGACTTTGCCTCCCTATTGAAGAACATCCAAATGTGACACCCCTGGCCCTGCTCCACATCTCAGCTTGCACCAGCAGTTTAAAAGGCCTTGGACAGTATGGTCCTGCTCTTCTCCCTTCCTTTGGGTACTGCTTGTGTTCTTGGGAAAGGAGCTGTCATACCTCTGTAGGCATCCAACTTGGACACAGACTAGGGCCAGGGTGCCTTCCTGGGGAGCAGGGAAGCCCATTGCTTCACCTACGGGGGCTACTCTGGAAAGCAACTCTCTTCAGACTCAACTGACATTCTCATCAGCAGGGCTTCACTCTTCTGTGCTCGCTGCTTCCTGACGACAGGGAGGAGACCTCTCTCACTTTCTATGCTTCCTGATAAGCCTGCGGATGTGAGTAATAACGACTGCTGTACTGACTAGCTGCCTCCTATGCACCAGAGACGTGGCTGCCCAGATGAAAGCTACATTTCTAGCCTCACCTGAGAAACAGGTCACATGACTAGGTTCTGCCCAATGGGATGTATCTAAAGTGACAGGAGCTATTTTTGGCCAAGCCCTAGAAAGATGTTCCCTGCCCTCCTTCTCATCCCTTGCCTCTGGAGGGGCATGGCAGCCACAGCAACCCCTTGGACCCAGGGATGGAAGCTTCATATTGCAGGGGGACAGAATCCAGGCCCCAGGCTACCTGCAGCTTTCAGACTATCAGACAGGAGAGACAGAAATGACCGGTGCAGGTAACCCTGTGTCGGACATCTGAGTCCTATTGGAGCAGCTGAGACCTGGGTTGCTCCACCCTCCACCATCTCACCAGGAGGTGAGCGGATGCTGCTCTTCTGGGAAGGAAGCACAGGTCAGTAGCAGAAGGGTGATGATGGCCACCACAGTCTCCTACACAGACATGAAAACACATACACATTCCATTTCGGGCAATACATCTTTACCTTCTTTGTTTTCAGAGTGTTTCAGAGGCCGCAGAGCTGAAAAAAAGGAAGGAGCACGTGATAAGAGAAGAACCTTAGGGAGGCAAACAGAGGAAGAAGGAAGGGTGAGGATGCAGAAGGAATGGGCAGGGATGGGCAGGCCGGGGGCGCCATCACCGTGTCAGGGGAGGAACCCTGGAGAGTTATCCCAAGCCTCAGTTCACAAGTCCCACCTCTACCATCTCTGAATAAGCCCTCCCTCTCTGAATCTCGGTTTCCTACTACTACAGAATGGGGACAGGCACCTGTCCCCAGACAATCTGGGAGTGGCAGCACACAGAGCCCAGACCATAGGTGAAACGAGGATCAAGGGAGGCTGGCATGGTTGCAGGTGCCTCCAGAGGCCCAGGATCATGTGACCTAGAGACCTAGAGAGCTGTTCTCATGCCTGATTGTTTACCATATGGAGGAAACAGGCCAAAGAGACAGTCTCTAGGCCATCTTCTCCCCGCTCTGCCCCACCCTGCCAACATCTGCCTCTGAACATAAGAAATGAGCCCTGATCCCAGGCCCATCTCCATGCCTGCCACACAGGCACCAACAGGTAGAGAATTAATTGGCATGATTTATAGCAGTCCCCAGGCATCACTCCTGCCCTTCCTTCTATGGGGGCAGAGAGGGAACTGGTGTCAACCGGAATAGTCTAAGATGGCTCATGGGAAACCTGCCTTTCTCAGCCTCATCACTCCTGACCCTGCAGCTTTGGGGCACCAGGACCTCAGCACCACCCTAAGACCAGATCTTAGCCCTAGACCCTCTGCTAAGCACAAGTTGGCTCTTCTAGGCTCTGAAGAATACTTCAGAACAGCTCTCAGGTGCTATTAGAACAGGGCCAAGATGGTATTTTACAGGTGAGACATGGAAGCCCAGAGGAGCAAAGCACCTCACCCATCTTGCACAGCCTCTAAGAACAGCACTGTCCACAGTTCTTTGCTTCATCACCATAGGGCACCACTGTAAGCTCCTAGCCAGACACTCTAGCCATGGTACTGTCTTCTCTATAGACTATCTCATTTAAGCCAACCCAGAAAAGCCTAGAGACCTGTTCTCATGCCTGTTTGTTTGTTTGTTTGTTTTACATATGGAGGAAACAGGCCAAAGAGACAGTTATTTGTTGAAGGCTCCTTTGTTTATGAGACTGCCTCCTCTCTCCTGAAGCCCTCCTCCCACCCCCTGGGAAGCTCTCAGTTGGTGCAGTCCTGATGGATGGGTTAGGGTAGATAGGAGACTCCTGTGGTAGTCCAGTGTTCTGCCTCCACACTTCCCTGGGTTGGGGGCTCCATCAGAAGGTACTCCATTCAAACCTCAGAGCATGAAGTCCTGTCTCCTGTCCCTGATGCCTCCCCAGTTAGGAGGGCCAGACTCACCTGTCTTGGATCCTTCTCCATCCCCATCCTGGTCCTCAGCGCCTAGAAGGGTGAATAACAAACTTTCTCAGTGCTCTCATTCCCACACTTCCACACTTGACTGAGCAAATTTGACTTCTGGTCTGAATTCTGAATTAAGGATTGCAGCTTGAGACCAGAGCAGAGCCAAGCCTGGGATAGAATGGGAGGCCCCAGCGGGAAGCCAGCATTCATCTGGCCAGGGACTACTTATCTAGCTTTTTACCCATGCAGCCTATCAGCACTTCACCCACAACCCACATCTGCACCCCACTTCTTTTATTTCTCTATGTGTGTGCGTATAGTGTGTGTGTGTGTGTGTGCGTATAGTGTGTGTGTGTGTGTGTGCGTATAGTGTGTGTGTGTGTGTGCGTATAGTGTGTGTGTGTGTGTGCGTATAGTGTGTGTGTGTGTGTGCGTATAGTGTGTGTGTGTGTGTGCGTATAGTGTGTGTGTGTGTGTGTGCGTATAGTGTGTGTGTGTGTGTGTGTGTGTGGTGTGAGTATGTGCATGTGTGTGTATGGTGTGGGTATGTGCACGTGTGTGTGGTGTGAGTATGTGCGTGTGTGTGTATGGTGTGGGTATGTGCACGTGTGTGTGTGCATGTGTGTGTGTGTGGTGTGGGTATGTGCATGTATGTGTGGTATGGGTATGTGCATGTGGGTGTGGTGTGGGTATGTGCGTGTGTGTGTGTGGTGTGGGTATGTGCATGTGTGTGTGGTGTGGGTATGTGCGTGTGTGTGTGGTGTGAGTATGTGCATGTGGGTGTGGTTCACAGGGCTGGAGAGAAGTGTGTGTGTAGACATAAGACTATAAGTTTCATAAGTTGGCAACAGTTACCTTCCTCAATCACTCTCCACATTATTTTTTGAGTCGGGGTTCCTCACTGAACATGGAGCTCACTGATTCAGCTGGACTGGCTGCCCAGTGAACGTCAGGGACCTTCCTGTTCCTCTAACCCATGTTACAGAAGCAAGCTGCCATGCCAGACTTATGTGGGTGCTGGGAACCCAAACTCTCGTCCTCATGCTTGCACAGCAGGCACAAAGCAGACAGCCTTACATACCACCACCTTTGTGACACATCACTCTTGTTTACAGTCATCTGCCATGCTCATGTACCGACAGGCATGTTTACACTGATTCACAGAGGACAGTCAGCCACGAGGTATCAGGCTAGGACCCTCTGTGTACCTCCTTCCCATTCATTCTGTCTCAGACACAGCAACTACTATGTTTGAATGTCTGCTCCCTCCCTTGATACAAATGGTATCAAGGGATGGGGCTTCTGGGCCGGAGAGATGGCTCAGTAGTTAAGACCACTGTCTGCTCTTGCAGAAACAAGATTTTTGTTCTTAGCACCCACATGGCAACTATCAGTCAGTAATCTATAACCCCAGTTCCAGGCATATATGCAGGCAAAGCACCCATACACAAAAACTTTAACTTTACATTTTAGTTTTAAATTAATTTTTTTCTAAAGAGGTGACACTTCTAAAGGATGATTAGGCTCTGACAGCTCTGCCCTTGCAGATGGCACTGGCACTGTGACCTTTGTCCTCTCACTTTCCACCATCTAAAGATCAGCAAGGCTTCACCAGATGCCAGTGCCCAGATATGATATTGACTTATTTACTTTGTGCCTGTCTGAATGTGTGGTATTCACACATGCCTGTTTACATGTGTGCGGGCACACATGTGGGCATACATGTATGTGGAGGCCCAAGGCTGATATCAGGAGTCTTCCTTGATCACTCTCCATGTTATTTATTAAGGCGGGGTCTCTCAATGAAATCCAGAGCTCACTGATATGGCTAGTCTAGCTGATCAGTTTGACCTGGGAAAGCCCTGTCTCCTCCTCCTCCTCCTAAGAGCTGGAATTACAGACAAACTGCCATGCATGTCCACTAGACATTTATGCAGGTGCTGGGGTTCCAAATTCCAGCCTTCATTCTTCTGTGGCAAATGATTTCTCTGTTCTCCCTGCTGCCTGGATATGGTACTCCCAGCTTGAGAAACACAAGCCAGTACATTTCTGTTCTTTACTCCACCCTGTCTTAGGTATTCTCTTACAGCTTCACCCAATCAACTAAAACAGTGATATGCCCCCAAGACACGTGCACGCACACGCAGACACACACGTACACTCACCTGCATTCTCCTCCTCACAGCTCTGCTTGATTTTCCTCCAGCACACAAAGGCCAAGGCCACCAGCAGTACCACAAGACAGACAGAGAGCCCCACGGTCACCCATAGAGCCTCAGGGGGGAATGCCATAGGCTGCCCTGGAAGAAGACAGAAAAATGAGACTATCTGGTTCCCAGGTGTAAACAGGGCCTCCTAGTCTCACTGTGCCCCTGCAGGATTAATGAAGCTCACTCAGGCTCCCACGGCCATAGCGAGATTCATCCTACCAAACCCTGCCACTGTGGCTATGAGTGATGGAAACAGGCCTCAGAAGGGGGGCGGGTGGAGCTAAGAACCCTGAGGATGGCTAACAACCATGGATAGGGCCCCACTGCCCAAGGGTATCTTTCTGTTTTCTAAGACTGATTCAAGGATCTCTCAGGAGACCCGGCTTCCAGTTGCCCCACTTTTCTGTCTAAAATCACCCCAGGAAGCTCCATGTAATCGATTCTCTACAGAGACCCTGACTCCTTCCAGCCTCTACCCAGTCCCTGTCATTTTCCCTTCCTAGTAGGGGCTCCCAAATTCTCCACCTGGCTTACCAGCCACTTCTCCAGAGGCCTCCCTAATGATTGCAGTCCTCCCTGCTTTACATCATCCTCAGGGTCAGACCCCAGCCAGCTACAGCTCATGAGCCAGATTGTGGCCTGTTTTTGACAATCCGTGGGCTAGTATTAGCTTTTATTTTTGTAAAGAGCTACAAAAAGCAAGGAAAAAGAAAAGCTACAGTGCTCTGGAGATGTTAACTTGGTAGATTGCTTGCCTAGAATACATGAAGCCTGGGTTCAATTCCCAGCAGGATATGAACTGGGCATGGTTTCCCATGCTACATGTGATCCCAGAACTAAGGAGGTAGAGGTGGGAGAATAAGAAACTCCAGGTCATCCTCATTACATATTGAGTTCAAGGTCAACTGAGGCAATGAGATCCCGCCAATAACAAATAGACTAATACATAAATAAAATCGGCAGCACATGGCCCACAAAGTATGCATTCTCTAGCTCTTTACAGAAAGTGTGCCTCTTTCTAAACAGAGGAGGGCTTGGAGTGAGAGTCTAAGTCACTCAAGGATTGTGCAGATCTGGGGGAGCCTCACCAAGGGAATATTCTCATGCAGCCCTGAGGCTGCCCATTACAATACCTTGTGTCAAGAGAATGAGTGGAGGTTGAGGAGTTTGAGGTAGGGTTGAGGCCAGCAGCTGTTTTGAGCACATCCCCACACGACTCCAGCATAGATACCACCCTAGTGGTATCTCAGTGGCACTGGGTACTCTGGGTGCTGGGCAGAGCCTTGGAGGGAAAAAAATCTAACAAAGGCAGCTGGTTCCTTTTGTTCTCTGGAGACAGCATGCAGCCAGGGCACCAGTGGCCTCTGTGGAGTACACAGGCAACAGGACCCTGCACCCTGCACCTGTAGAGGCCCAGGCCCACAGGAACTGTGGTAAGTCCTTGCAGCAGACATGCTTTCCATGGGTATGGGGTCGTGGTGGGGCACGCTGCTGCTCTGAACAGGAGAGCAGAAGGCCACAGCTAAGGCAGATGGCTAGAAGGCAGGCCACCCTGGAGCACTTGTGAGACATCTCTGGAAATCTCAAGATAGGGTTCCTGCAGCAGTGGACAGGACAGAGCAGCAGAACTACTCGAGGGACTTCACCCCTCCCTGAAGAGCTACAGGCAGCTAATGGCTGCTAGGGGAGGAAGAGACATTTTCTTCAGTGATACAGCCACTTGATAGAGTGCCCAAGCTCCTATAATGGACCCCTCACTTGTGCTCCTAATGAAAGTCACTGTGTCACAAAAAAGGACATTAAAATGGGCGGGGGGACACCAAGATGGCTCAGCTGGTGAAAGAGTCTGCTGTGAAAGCATGATGACCTGAATTCCTTTACACACACACACACACACACACACACACACACACACACACACACACACACGTGAACACAATAAATAAGATTTTAAAATAATGAAAATAGGAGGAAACTTGTTGGGAAGAGGGAGGGAATCAGCAGGATTAAATGGGGAACATGAAATGGTATTAGAGGTGAATAACATCAAAATGCATTATATACATGTATGAAATATCACAACGAATCTCTTCAATATGCAATTAGGATAAGCTAATCACTCAAAGGGAGACTCTCCCTGTGATCATCCCTAAAGTGCCTGAAACTTGGTCAGACTTCCTTCATTCCTCTAGCAAAGGACACAGTCAGCTGGGGCTCAGACCTATATCTCCAGTTTTTGCTCCAGAAAGCCCTCTCCAGAGAGGCCTGGCACAGCACATCAATGTGGAGAGAGAGCAGCTAAAGGACTGAGCATCGAAATCCCAAAATGCTGTACAAGGCAGAGCTGCCCGAAGCAAAATGCAGGCCAAGGGCTCCAAGGTAAGCCAGCTCTGCTCTAATGGAAACTGGAGGCTAGCCGTGGGGAGGAGGGAAAAGTGGGCTAACAGGCCAATGCTGGATTCAGATCCTGGGTCATCTACTTGCTACAGAAGGTGGGAACCAGGATCCCAAGTGGTCCTCGTATAGAGTTTAGAGAGGCTGGGAAGCCCCAGAGCTATGGGAAAACCACTGCCTTTATCATTTGTCCAATTTTCAAAGTGGCATCTGTCCCCAAAAATATTTGAAGCCACTGTGTCAGTCTGTAGTCTTGGGAGAGTCCTTTTTCACTGGGCCTCAGTGTCTTCCATGAATTGTGCTTGGTAATACTAGCCCAAATGGAATCCTTTCAGTGCCAGCTACTGAGGTATAAAGAATGTTCTCTGAAGTGGGGCAAATGTTCTTTCCACATACAAGCCCTTGTTACACAGCACTAGACCACAGATAGCCCAGCCCTCCTGGTGCAAGTTGGCCATGAATCCTCTGTCCTTCCTGACAAAACCTTCATATGTCTGTCCAGCTTATTCCATATTTCTTGGTCTTTTGTGAAAAAAAAAAACTGCTTTGTCTTTTCTTAAAGGATGTAGTGTGTGTGTGTGTGTGTGTGTGTGTGTGTTCAGACATGTATATGAAGATACTCACAGAGGCCAGAAAATGGCATCTGATCACTTGGAGATCTAGGCATTTGAGCGCTACCTAGGTGCTGGGTGGGTAGAGAACTAGTTGGGCAGAAGAAGGGAATGCTAGGATGTGAACTCTGATCTTCATGATAGAGCAGCAAGTGTTCTTGATCACCGACCCATCTCTCCAGCCCCAGTGAGACATATTTTTTCCTATGGTGTTCTTGACAAGATCAAGGTGTTACTCAGAACAGAAGAGAGTGCAGGAAGTGACTCCCTTGACTGATGTACAGACCAGTTCTCTATTTACACAGGTTTACACAAACACCAGCAACCATTGATAGTAAAGAGCTGGGTGGGCTGGGGATGTCAGGCAGAAGTTGTGGGAAGAGAAGAGACAAGGACCAGTGATGGACAACCAACTTTCCTGATCTCAGAGATGTAGGAGGTCCCTGGGAAAGCTTATAGGGTCCAGAGGTAGGGCTTAGGGAGATAGACCTAGCACACAGGGCTACCAAAGGACTGAACTGAGACATGTCAGGGACAAACATAAAGGGTGACTGTCTACCCTGGCGTGAAGGTGAGCCTGAACCCTCTTTACACCCTTAAGCTCTGAGGGTGGCTACTTGGATTGGTGCTGACCTGGAAACAAGAGATTGACTTCCCCAATATTAGAGGCTTAGTCTAGCATTTGGCCACATGGGGGCAGTAGAGACAACTCTTGCTATCCAACTGTAGGGCTCTAGTCTGCAAGAACCCTTGACCCAGGTGAGCGGGGCTTCATAGTTGCAATTCCTTCACACCAAAAGAAGTGCGCACTAGAAAGCATACCCTCAGTCACTATGTCTCTAAGCAAGCCTTGTGGCTGCCCCAGAATTGTACCCTCCCCTGTAGATTCCAGGCAGGTACTTTGTGGTCCATATCAAGAAGAGGCAGGCATAAGTGCTGTGGAAAGCATGTTCAGGACAACAAACATTACAAATGATTTCATCAGTTCAAGAAAACAAGTGACTACTCACTGGGGAGGTTTTGGGGCAATTGAAGTCTACATGAAAATGAGTATTTTTATATTGATATTCCAGTTTAGGGCCTAGAGAAGAGGTAGCTGTTCCCTCCTCAGCTAACCTGATCGATCCCCTTACCTGTGATGGTGACTGAGCCATGAGCATCTTGCTGCAACACCGGGTTGCGTACCAGGCAGCTATAGATGCCATTAGCACCCAGCACCACCCTCAGCACGCTGTGAACATCAAACAAGCCCCGCTCATTGGCCATCTGGGATGTGGTCACATTGCCAGTCAAGGGCAGTCCCTGCCCATCCTTCCAAAGCACCTCAGCCTCGGGATAGCCCTGGTAGCTGGAGCACGTGATGGTCACTATGTTCCCAGGACGAAGGTCTTTGTTGGGCTCCAGAGTCATGCTGGGCTTCGAGTAGGGAGCTGGAGGGTAGCAGAAGGTAGAAATCAATGACAGTCAGCTCAAGAGAGCCAGTGGAGAAAAGGACACATGGGGCTGTTAGTTAGGAATCAGCTCTGGGGCTCTCTTGGATGGTGGCATCAGCAGTGGGCAGTGGGTGGGCTGCATGCAGACTGGGTAAGGAGTGGAAAATGCTTCCTTCTAAGTGAACTGCCACCTGCCAAAGTCCCGTTGCTCACAAAGCTGGTGAAGGTGCCCTCATCAGCTACACACCAAGAACACATTGCCTTATGCCAGCAGCTCAGGGAAGAGTTCTGTACTGCTAGGGTAGGCCCTGCCCTGCATACCAGTTATTTGCTGTCTATCAGTTGCCAGGTACGGTTAAACTATGCCAGGCTGGAGCCAGCCTCAGGGGGAAGAGGAACAGTGTAGGGTGGCACCCAGGCCACCATGGGATCTGCAGAGACCTGGACATCCATGTCTCCTGGGTCAGAATCATGGAGACAAAGCAGTAAGGAAGGACAGAAGGACAGGGCCTCTCCAGCTGCTCCACAGCCTCTTCTACCATCAACACCCAGGCCTTGTTCCTTCTAATTCTTTCTAGACAGATAGAGTCTCATATTTGATTTTCACTGCAGACTGGCTTTGTCTGACAAGAGCCATCTGTGGGATTCAGACTTGGGGCGATGGGGTTGTCAAGAGCTCCAGCAAAGGCAAACCCCTTCCCCAGGAGAGCTCCTTTGGCTCTCCTTTCCTGTGACTTTCTGCTGACCCAGATGCATCTCCATCCTTCCTAGAAATTTCTTCAGCCTTGGGGTCTGGAGGGTCAAGAAGGTCTTCAATCAGTGACTCCTGACAACTTGGAGTCCCCTACCCCATCATTCTCCTATCATTATCAGGTATCTCCATTGTCTGGGAGATTGAAGATATGAAACTAACTTCCTTTATCTTCAAATGCAACTGAACTATAACCTCCCTTTAAAGTGCCATTTAAGACCAAAAAATTAAAACCCATGGGGCTTCTGTGGGTTGTCATGATTGATGAGCAATGTACATCCTACTGCAACACCAGGCTGGATACCAGGCATCTGTAGGTGCCATTAGCACCCTGGACCACCCTAAGCATGCTGTGTCTATTAAACAAGCCCTGCTCCTTGGCCATCTAAGATGTGGTCCCATAGCCAGTCAAGGGTGATCCCTGCCAGAACACTGCAGCCTCAGGGAAGCCCTGGGAGCTGGAGCATGTAATTGTCACCTTGTCCCCAGGTTGTTGTTGGGCTCCAGAGTCATGCTGGACTTTGAGTAGAGGCTGGAGGGTAGCAGAGGGCAGGAGTTACCAATATCATCAGTTCAGGAGATACCATGGAAGAAAGGACACATGAGGCTCTTAGGAGCAGGATCTGCGGTGAGCAGTGTGTAAGGGGCCCCATGCAGAAGAGTGAAAGCGAAGGATGCCCCCCTCTCCATGCTCACCTGCCACCTGAAGGCTAACAGCAGCACTGTCAAAGTCCTGGATGCTCACAAAGCACGTGTAGCTGCCCTCATCGGTTACTCGGACGCGCTGCAGCCGCAAGGATGCATTGCCCTGCTCCAACAACTCAGGGAAGAGTGCTGTGCGGTTGGCATAGGCACTGCCTTGGTCCCGCCCCTCAGTAAAGCTGTGCACCAGCTGTTTGGTGTCTGTCAGCTGCCAGATGAGGTTGAGCTGTGCCAGACTGAAGCCAGGCTCCAGAGAAAAGGAGCAGCGGAGGGTGGCATCAGCATCCACCAACGCCACCACAGGGTCTTCAGAGACTTGGACCTCCACAGCTCCTGGGGGTGAGTAGAAGGGGCAGGGCAGTTAGGAAAGGTGGGCCTTTCGGGTCTCTCTCCTTTCCCCAGCTATCTCTAGGCTTCGCACACTCTTCCTTTTAGGTCTGAGTCTCAAAGTAAGTTCCATATCTATGCTCCTCGTTGTGAGCGTCAACATGAATTAGGAATGTAATAAGGACCAAGACCCAGGTCACACCCTAGAGCTTATTTACATCCTAATGGAATAGAGAGGCAGTTTGTGATGAACACAGGTATTTATCAGTCTGTGATTAGACTTGGGGGAGGGCCTGTAGATATGCCTCAGTGTTACAGCACTTGTCCAGCTTTGGATCCATTCTGTGCCAAAAAGGGGCGGGGGGGGAGGACAAAATCGAGGGAATACCAAGAGAAAGAAAGAAACGAAAGAAGTCAGGGACTCAACACAGACAGCTTCCAAGCCTGCAGGTACTCTCCACCTGCCAGGTCATTTGCATTTTCCCACAAATACACACTATTTGTATAATTAGGCAGGGGTACCTACAAAAAAGTATACATACAATGTTCTTTGGGTGAGAGAACTTTATTTCTTTGCTTCACTTCCTAAATAAACAGACTTAACTTCAATACAGGAAAGAACACCCATGTCTTTAAATGAAGTGTGAAGCATGATCTCTGGGAAACACAGAGCCTATGCTAGTGGGTGCCAGGGATCAGCAGAGAGAAAGGCCCTGAGGCAGGGGGCCAGTGAGAGTGTATGGGAAAATAACACAATGAGAAAGCCCACTGGAGGAAGGCCAGGCAGGGCTGTGAGAGATGCTGGAAGAAACCTGGGGTTTCCCACCTTTGAGGGCATAGATCTAAGGAGGGCACTAGTTATTAGATGTGACGTGGGTGGCAAAGCCTGAAGTTCTCCCTGGCTTTTCTACAAGGGGAAACTATACTATAGAAGGGTAAGAGGGAGAGTGACCAGGGGGCCACCTCAGGGGTCCTTGTAAGAAGTGATAGTGTTACAGTGGAGGAAAGCATGTGTGAGGGAGTTAGCACCGGAGTCAGCTACAGGTTTTAATCCCAGCACTCAGAAAGCAGAGGCAGGTGGATCTCTGTAAATCCAAAGCCAGCCTGGACTACATAGCAAATTCTAGGCCAGCCAGGGCTACATAGTGAGACCCTGTCCACAAACAAACAAACAAATTGCAGAGTGGTCATAGAACTAGCCAGATCTAAGATGCAGTCAGAAATAGCAATGTTTGCTGATGGATGAAGGGTGAGAAGAAAGGACCATATGGGGGTTTGAATGAGAATGGCTCCCATAGGGCGCATATGTTTGAATGTTTGGTCCCCAGTTGGTGGAACTATTTGGGAAGGATTGGGAGGTGTGGCCTTGTTAGAGGAGGTGTGTCACTGGAAGTGGGCTTTGAGGTTTCAAAAGCCCATGCCATCCTTCACTCTGCTTTGTGTTGGTGGATTAAATGTTAGCTCTCAGCTAATGCTCCAGTGCTATGCCTGCCTTCCTACTGACACATTCCTCGCCACGATGGCCATGGACTCAGCCTCTGACACTTTAAGCAAGCCCCCAGATGAAATGCTTTTTTCTAAGTTGTCTTGGTCCTGGTGGTTTGTCACAGCAATAGAAAAGTAACTATGTAGCAGAATGTAAATCACAAAAGCACAAGATGACTCCATCCTGAGGAGAACCCTGAGCTCCCAGAGAAAAGAGCCCTGGGGCAGGCTCCTCTATGGCCAACTGTGCCCCTATCCAACCGACTTCCCAGCAGTTTTGCTCCCAGGAGCCTCTGTCTGCACTTCATCTCTCCTTCAGAGAAGTCAGGAAGGGTCTGGGGAGTCTGCTGGGCTTGGTCACAGTGAGGTGAGAGGTCCAGGCACCCACAGGAAACAGGCACACTCAAAATATGTGAAGCAAGGCCTCCAAATGAAACTAACTGAATACAGCACCCATAAAAGGCTTAGAAAATTGTATTTGCTCTGTGGTTAGTGTTTTACTGGGAATTCCACACTTTCTTAGTGTGTGATGCATAGAGGTTGAAGCTGAGCCTGCATATCTTTCAGTAATCCAGTGAAAGAAAGCTTAGGCCACTTCTCATCCTTGCCAAATAGACCTAAGTTATCACTTGCAGGGAACATCTGGGACATGGAACTTGAGTCACCCAAAGTCCTTTCTTTCTAAAGAAGTGAGAGCCAGGCTGGGTGTGGTGGTGGCGCACGCCTTTAATCCCAGCATTCAAGAGGCAGAGGCAAGTGGATTTCTGTGAGTTCCAGGCCAGCCTGTCTACACAGTGAGTTCCCGGATGGCCAGAGATACATAGTGAGACTTTGTTTCAAACAAAAATAACAAACTAAGAAGTCAACACCTAGGGGTAGAGATGGGTGCTGCCTATGATGACCACTAGATGGCACCAGACTCTCGGCTTTGTTTTCTCCATGGGTTGAATGACTACCCAAACAGTGCATTTACATAGCCAAGCACTATATGGGAGGTACCTTCATTTATTCATCATGATGATTGAGCACCATTCCACCCCTTAGGATAGACAGACACTGTCTTCTGAACAGGGTGACAACAGGCAAAAATCAAAGGAACCATATGTCAAGGGGAGGTATATGCTAGGAAGGATGTGCTATGTCGTTTTACACAAAGTACCCAAGTAAGCATGCTGAGGACCTGCCATTTGAGAAAAGGCTTGCGACAAAATAAAGAGTGGAATCATGCCTCTGTCTGAGGGCAGAAAGTTCTGGGCAGAGGAAAACCTATGTGCAAGGGTCCTGAAGAGAGTTTACAGTGTCTTCGGGAATCTGCATTACCCTAGTAGACAGTGTTCAAGCCCCATTTCACAGATGAAAAAGTAGAGGCTAAGGTGAAGATGGTTGCTGTGGATCCCAGAGATGGTGACAGAGCCAGCCTGGCAGGAGCCCAGGAAGGAGTAGGCATCCCCACACACCCCCATGACCACAATTCCTCCCCTCACCTGTGAGGCAGAAGTACAGCACTCCCAGTGCTGTGCGCATACACACACCCACACTGGGGCCACCCCATCCACACAGCATCTTCCTGTGAGGCAGCTGACAGCTGGGCTCTCCTTGGCAGATGGCTGCTCCTGCCTGTGGAAGAGGAAGAGAGGCCTTTGTCTCCCAAGGTCCTTCCCAACACCTTCCTAATTCCTCGGGACCATCCAAATGTAAGAGGCAAGATGCCAGGCAGCCAGCAAGACAAAGATGATGAGCTTGGGGTCCAGGCTGTGCCCAGGTCACTTTGGCTGATGGGAGAGTAAAAGAGCAGGTTTTACAGAAACTCAGGATTCAGTTTGACAAGTATACTCTACTGTACTCTAAAAGCAGCCCGGAGCCACTGAGGGTTCTGGAATAGAGAAACAGCATTGTGAGGGCTAATTTGATAGCATCTGCAGAATAAATGAGAGAAGCCAGCCAAGTGGAGAAGCAGGTGTAGGTAAAACTGACAGCATTTAGGAGTATAGGAAACGAGGGAGGCAACAGTCAGGACAGTTGCTTTTGGGCCCGGATCACTAGGACAGGAAATGTGGAACATTTGGTCTAGGGTGTGTTAGGTTAAGATCATGTGTGAAGAAACCCCAGGGCAGAGTTCTAGGAGCAGCTGGATGTACTGATGTGGAGTCTGGGAGGGGAATTTGCTAGTTTAATACATGTGTACCAAGCAACCAAGACCCAGCAGAAATGAAAGAGGCCAGGGGCAGAGCTGGTGTCAGTGTCGTCAGTGTCAAACCTGAGCAAGAACTGGATCTATTGCAATAGATCAGGCCTGGGCCAGAGAGGTCCCAGACTTCCCTGGGTTTGGCTAGTACTCAGGGTTCCCCCAGGTCCCTGACTCAGGCAGGCTGTATGCAACACTTCTTATGTCCCTCACTGTTTGTCTGCTCAAGCCATGTGACCCAGGTCCATCTGTCCCACCTAACAATGATTAGCAAGAATACAAACATTTCACACCCTCCTGGTCACCCCCAGTGACAGATTGGTTGCATTTTTGCAGGAGAAACAAACAAATAAATACATAAACAAATACAAACACATGAGTTTCATAATTCTATATCATCTGTCATTGAGCAGAGCTGAAAATAGCCCGACCCTGCAGCAATCCCTTTCTACCCTTCATAGAGCAAATCCTACCTACAGCCGAGCATCTTATCTAGCCTTGGGTACCTGGGGACAGCCGTTTCATCCTATCATACACCTCTTCTCCCATTCCCAATGCCAGGAAGCTGCACAGAGGGGGTCCCTTAGTCAAACCCAGCATCCTGAATAACCACCCTCTTCCCTGGCTATCCCACAGTCCAATGTGGAAAAGCCCTGGGCAGCCACTTCCTGTCCAGATGCTTCCGGTCCAAAGTCTGATGGCCTCAAAGCCTCCAGTCTGGGTGCTGAGTCAGCAGCTCTGATTCATAACGGCATCCTTGGGGATGCCATTTCCTGCCTGACAAGGGCCACCGTAAGCCTGCAGGAAAACCTAGCAGCCAGCTGCCTGGACTACTGGCTATGTGCCACAGGAAGCTAAAGCCTACAGAGTTGCCAGCTTAAGTCTTATGTCCTCTTTTACCCCCTAGACAGACACAGAGTCTGGGAGCTGGGATGTGGCTCAGGTGGTTGAGGGCTTATCTAGCTGGCAGAATGACCTAGAAGCTCCGGATTCATCCTCCAGGACCTCATAAGTCAGGTGTGGTGGCACATGCCTGTAATCTTAGAGGGATCAGGAAGATCAGGAGTTCAGGGTCATCCTTAGCTACAGAGTGAATGCAAGGCCAGCCTGGGCAACAAGACACCCTGTCTTAAAACAAATGAACTCTGAGTCTGACAGTGCTTCTTGGAGTCCATATATTTCAGTCTTCTTACTGCTGCTTGTGCCTGTCATCTAGGGTCACCTGGACCCTCTTCACTGACCCCATAAGTCCCACATATCACCCCCTCCCAATCTCATTCTCTCAGGTGCCTTCTGAGACCTAAGACAGGAATCAGGTTCGTGTACCACCACCACCCCGAAAAATCCCCCACAGCTCCCCAGTAGTTACAAGAGAAGACCTACATTATTCTTCTACCTGATGTTCAAGGCTCTCCCTAGGATGTCTTCCCATGCTTCAAGCTACTTCCCGTTACTGAGGTTTACCCCCAGGATCACTTATGAGTGTCTCTGAAGGTGTGGGAATCCAAGTGTTCTCTCCTGATCAGACTAACTATGTTTCCCCAAAACATAGCTGACACCTCACTCTAGAGGGTCCATGAGAGGCTTCCAGAGTGGAAGCTTGCACTCTTTGATTCCTTTTCTCCATTCTGGACCCAGGAAGTCCAGCATTGTAATTTCAGCCTAGAAACTCCATGGAGCCCCTCCAAGAAAGACTGCCAAGTGCCTCCGGGAAAGACACTGTAGTAAGGGCCAGCCACCCTCACCTTGAAGCTACTGCAAGCTTATCCAAACCCAGCAGAATTAGGATGCAAGGACACTCTCAAGACATCATCCAAGACTTATTACGGCACATATTCAGAACAGCAAACCTGACTGCCAATGAACTCTGGGCCACCATAACCACTGGCATCACGCCAGTCTTTTATTTTTTTTTTAAGATTTTTATTATTATTTTAAAAAAGTGCTGGATCCCCTGAAACTGATGGTTGTGAGCCACCATTTGGGTGCTAGAAACTGAACTCAGGTCCTCTGCAAGAGCAGCGAGTGCCCTTAGCTGCAGAACCATCTCTCCAGCTTGATTGGTTTTTGAGTACGGGTGCCTAGCTGCATGTGGGTTTGTACATGTGAATGCCGGTGCCCACAAAGTCTAGAAGAGGATTCGGATCCCCTGAAGTAGGAGTTACAGACAGCTGTGAGCCACCATGTGAGTGCTGGGAACCAAACTAGGTTACCTACGAGAGCAATACATGCTCTTAACCACAGAACCACCTCTCTAACCCCACCCCATGGTCCATCCACCCCACACTCCCCAACCTCCCACAAAAAGGATAAAAGCGAGAGTCGTAGAACTCTAAAAATATAAGCAAAGTTTCTGGATCCAAATATGCCTGAAGCAAGCTGCAGACCTAGATGGGCTGATCTTTCTCCCCTTAATCCAGTTCCAGGTAAGTGGATGACATGTGCAACTGATGGAGTCCTTGTGTACAGCAGGTTCATCTGGATACTGGACAATTCCTTTAATGATGCACGGACCACCGCTGGGGAGGCCGAGGGGACAAAGGGGACTCATCTGTGTGGTGTATGCTCTCAAGTAGCAGACCCCAATGCAGAAGGCGGATGTGCCTCTCAGCAGAGCCCACTTTAAGATGCCATGAGGGCTGCTTGGTGGCACCTGAGAGCCATCACAGCCTCCAAGTGCATGCTGAGGGCCTGGAGCAGCTCTCAGGTAAGGCTGGGAAAGGTGAGACTCATCTTAGCCCCATCTGCTGCCTCTCAAGCAGATCTCCTTGATATGGCAAATGAAGACCAAGGCTTTGAAAGTGGGAGGAACTGAGTCTGACCATCAGAACTCCAGGGGGAAATGCCAGGCATGGTGGTACGTGCTTGTAATCCCAGGACTAGGGAGATGAAGACAGGGAGATCCCTGGCTTACTAGTGAACCAACCCAGCCTACTTAGTGAGTTGTGGGCCAGTGAGAGAGCCTGTCTCAAAAACAAACAATAAATGAAAACCAAAGTGGATGACAACTGAGGAACAACAGCCAAGGCTTGTCCTCTGGCTTCCACAGCTAGTTACTACACAGCATATAAATCTGCACACACACATATACACAATGGGAGAAAATGATCCCAAAGTTTGGAGTTCTGATCCTAGCTCTGACACTTCACTGTATAGTCTTAATAAGGTCTCCCACTGTGGTGGTTTGAAGGAAGATGGGCCCCATAGACTCATATATTTGAATACATGGTCTCCGGTTGGTAGTTATTTGGGAAGGATTAGAGGTGTGCCCCCCATGGGGGCTATAGATATGGCTCAGTGGGTAAGAGTTCTTCCAGAGAATCAGGGTTCAATTCCCAGCACCCATATGGCAGCTCACACCTGTCTGTAACTCCTGTTTCAGGGCTCTGATATCCTCACACAGTCATACATGCAGGCAAAAAACACACACATACACACACACACACACACACACACACACACACACACACACACAAGAGGTGTGGCCATGTTGGAGGAGGGGTTTTACTAGGGACAGGCTTAAGGCTTCAAAAGATTGGCACCATTCCCAATGTGCTCTCTTCTGCCTGCTTGTAGCTCAAGATGTAAGCTCTCAGCTGTCCCTGCCACCATACCTTCACTCTGCCATCATGGACTTTAAACTCCTGGAATTGTAAGCCCAAGTAAGCCCTTCCTTCCTCCCTCCCTCCTAACCTTTCATTTATTTATTTATTTATTTATTTATTTATTTTGTTTTTTCCGAGACAGGGTTTCTCTGGGTAACAGCCCTGTAACAGCCTGGTCACTTGTAGACCAGGCTGGTCTCAAACTCACAGAGATCCATCTACCTCTGCTTCCCAAGCACTGGGATCAAAGGCATGCGCCACCACATCCAGCTTATAACCCCCCCTTTTTTGTAGGTTGCTTTAGTATTGTGTTTTATCACAATAGCAAAACAATGACTACACTCACCTTTCTTTAAAAAAAAAAAAAATCACAGGGCTGGAGAGAAGGCTCAGTGGTTAAAAGCACTTGCTGCTCTTGCAGAGGACCCAGGTTCAGTTCCTAGCACCCACCATAATTCCATCCATAATTCCAGTTCCAGGAGATCTGACCTCCTCTTTTGACCTTCTCTGGTATCAGTCACTCTCTGAGTTCAATATTTCTAAAAGAAAAATTTGTCCAAGTCTAATGGACCTTCTTTGCTATCGTGAAACTCACATTGAAATTCATATAGCCATGTTACCACAGAAGCCACCAATTATTTCCTTAGTTCTGTTCTCCCCTTCGGTAGCATTTAGTCAGGCATAGAGCCACTCAGCTAAAGACTACAGATCCCAGACTCCCTTTCAGCTGGGTGTGGCCACATGATCATTTTCTGGCTAATAAGATTTCAGAGGAACTAATAGGTACAGTTCTGGGTCATGTCCTTAAAAATGGAGGGCGTCCTCTT